CCAGGAAAATGTTTGTTGCATTGAAAGGACGTGAGAAAAGATTGTTGGGTTGATTGAGGTATGTTGCTTATAATGCATTACCATCTATGAAAAGTAAGGTTGGTGATATTATGATATACTTGAAATTAAATTGCTAGGTATTAGACTACTAGGTGTTGGACTGATGTTATTTATATTTAGTAGAAGTTAAAATCCTAGTGTTATTTTGTTATAATGAAAATTAGGATCATTATGATTTATTTTGAATATTTATATCTTATATTATCTAGCCTGTAGATGGTGTTGAATTAGTTGTGACAACTACATATTTTGCCATCACAAATTTGTTACTGGTATCTTAACAATTTTTGAAAAGAACCATTTTCTAGTCATTTTCTATTTTTATTTTGTTTAATGTTCAACAAGATAAACAAAAGACTGAGTTAAACTAATATTGTTGCTCAATATCCAAAACATGGCAAAATACAAAAAAAAATAGTTGAACTACTTAAGAAGGTACTACGTGATGAGTTTGTTTTATTTATCCTAAGAGCAACCAGGTTACATACTAAACTTGGTTGTAGTGATTCCCTTTGCATGTCTCTTCCAATACTTTTATCTTAGTCCTTGATTATACTAAATTCAATAATCTTTGTTTATAATTTTACAAGTTTTGAGATCCATATGGTTGCTTAATTATTATGTTTTGCTAATATATCGGTATTACTACAAGTATATTGTATAAGGTCATGGGGAAACCCAATGTTAAATGGTAAAGGTTGTTCAATATTAATGAATAACAAGTAAATACTAAGTCTGTATCAACAAATTTGTATGCCAAGAATTACATTTATAGTATTACTACAAGTATCATGTTATGACAACAATTCAACTAATTCAACATTTAAGCTTCAAGAATTATATTTATTTTTTGTCTTTTAATAATTTAAGGTTCAAGAAAACTTGTTCTTGATTCATAAATACTAAGAGTTTAGAAAAGTTTCTTTTTTAAAAAAGTTTTTAATCAAAAAGTTTTTATTCCATTTATATTGGTTAAGTGTAAGGGCTGGGATTTTTGTGATTAACATGTTAATATCATTGTTTTTATCATTCATGTAGTATTATCATTCTTGTTAAAATAAAATCGTGTATATAGTTTATTTGTTTGAACAATTAAGTTGTGACAAGTTTGATGAGTAACAAGTTTAGAGGATCAATGGAGGATTGTAACGAAGAATATGTAGAAGATCAAAATGAAGAAACTACCTTATTTCCTATTTTACAAGATGATGTAAAAGAGGCTAAAGATGTCGGTGCATTAACTTGTATGTCATAAAATACCTATGTAAAGAGCCATGTAGAATTAGTGGACAAATAGGTCATTCATGAGTGCAAGACATTTTGAATGAGCATCCTATTTGTTATTATGAGATGTTTTGAATGAGAAAACATGTATTTAATCAACTTTGCATTGAATTGGTTGAACATGGTTTAAAAAGAACTAAGTGAATGGGTGTTCAAGAAATGATTGCAATGTTTTTAAACATGGTTGATCATGGAGTAGACAATACTATAGCATGATACAAGAAAGTTTTCAACATTTAGGAGAAAATGTACGTAGGCATTTCCATCAAGTATTAGTTGCATGTCTTAGATTAACCTTCAAATATATCAAGCCACAAGATTCTAGGTTCCATGATGTCCATAAAAAAATTGAACACGACCCATGACATTGGTCATTTTTCAAGGATGCTATAGAAGCAATTGATGGTACTCATATTTCATGTGTGGTTACTCCACATGAACAATCAAAATTTATTAAAAGAAAATGACATCCAACACATAGCATGTAATGGTTGTGTGATTAGGACATGCGCTTTACACAGTATTTTAAAACTTGATTCAAATCGACCGATTAGATAGGGATCCAGGTACATAACCAATCTGAGTTGAGAGTAAGATCAAACATGCATGTAACCTAGTGATTATGTCACTAAACCCATAAAAATTGGTGAAAACTTCGTTAAACTACCAAATATTCATACTGGTTAAATCTTTCTTTACTTTGAATTTTTTTTTACGTTGCACTGTCCACTAGCTTTGTTTGTCACTTTGTTGTTTCTCATGTAGCTTCGTTTGTCACTTTGTTGTTTCTCATGTTAGGTTCACATGTGAACCTGTGCTATTGCTTGAGGTTAAAATTTAAATAAAATGAGATTTAAGTTAAATTTTTGTAAAATATATTAAAGAAGGCATAAATAAGTTTTGATCCCCAATTTTAAAGATTAAAGGCCTTATGCATCACAACTACACCATTTGATTTGGTGCTTAATTTGGTGTATATACTTAAGACAAATATATATATATATATATATATAAATTAAATTATATTTTATTTATACCAACACAATTTTACATTTGTCTTAAATAATTTATAGAGCATATATTAAAGTTAAAATCATATATTAATTTATTTGGTCCAACCTATCTATAATTTAGTTATACTAAGTATTATATTGATTTCATTTTTTAGGTTTATTTAAAATACGATATGAATTTTATTAAATTTGTAGGTATGAATATACATAATATGAATATTGTTTAAAATTTTTAATAAAGACCAAATCATGCAATTCAATTAGTAACTTATCAATTTGACCTCTTATTCATTGACTCAATGCTTTGAACCGTTTGATGACTAATTCGACTTTTAAAACATTAATTTCACATTTTCATTACCAAGATGGGAAGGTACTACACATGACACCTGTTGTGTATTTGAAAATATCCTCACAACTCCTTCCATTAATTTTCCACATCCACCTCTAGATAAATGTTTATGATAATTATAATTTATTTATATGTTCATGAACTCATGATTTACATGATAATAATTTTATCTTTTATTAGGTATATATTACTTTGATTGATGTTGTTTATTCAACACCAATAAGATATATTGGTCCATATAAATGGAATATTACCACCTCCCAATAGTTAGGTGTTCAACTAGATTTGCAAACTATAATGAGGTGTTCAATTATTACCATTCAAGTTTGAGGTATACAATAGAAAGAACTTTTGGAATATGGAAAAATAGGTTTGCAATTTTGCATCTTGTGCCTAAATTCAAATTTAAAACACAAGTTTAACTAATTGTTGCAACAATGACTATATACAATTTTATTAGAAGATAATCTCAAACAATTCTACATTTTTGCATTATAAAGAATTATGGAGGAGCATGAAAATAATGGTCATATCGGAGAAAATCAACTTTTACATGTAATTGTGACTTTTCCAATGGAGATGAAATTCTCGATTCGAGTTCAAATTAGAGACTATATTTATTTTTTTTATTAAAATGTAGAGACCAAACCAAACCAACTAAAAAAAAATATAACAAAACAAGAAAGTGAAAATTAAAAGAAAGAAGTAAACGTCTAAGAAATTAAAATGGCGATAGAGGTTGCTAAGAGTAGAATTAAAAACAGCCAAGTCAAAATCTCTAAAAACCCATAATAAAAGCTTCATGAAAATTTGGTGGACTTGGTAACCGAGTTCTAGGAACCAAATCAACAGCAGAAACAAATCACATGGCAGCACCAACAACAACTACTATATAATATTATATAATATATGTATGTTAAAATATTTATCTTTATTATAATTTTTTAAAATTTAATTAATTTTTTATTATGATGATTTTAATATTTTATTTTTATAATTTTAATATACTTGTGATATATAATATCATTAGAAAATTTTGATTAAAAATTGGTTGAAATATCTGGACAAAATATTACTCTTTTAAATATTTATTGCAATTACAACTGATATATGTTTCTGTGATTAAATAATACCGCACAATTATGTTAAAGAGAATAAATTAACTTCATGGCTAGTACATGTTTATTATCTTAAATCGAAGATAATATTAAACACTTATAACAAATCATGCTACGTAAGTACCAGACTACCAGTAATTTTTATTAGAGACATGCTTAATATACTAGATACTGAATTAGTCTAATAGTTGGAGAAAAAGGGTTTAGAGTAAAACTGAAACGACCTAATTTTAATCTTCATTATTATAATTTTTCTTATAAATAAATAAAAATATTAGATACTTATTTATTTTAAGTAAGTATAATTCATAATAAATAAATCTTTTTGAATATATAAATTATATTATAATAAAATTCACAATAAATAAATATTTGTATCATATAAATTATACTTAAACCTTATAATAATTAATTTATATTATTATACAATATTATTTTCACCTATTAATAATTTATTTCAAAATGATATTTAACTAATTTGTTTTCAAAGAATATTCATGAAAACATTATATCTTTTAAAACAAATGCTTGAAACTTATATTATTATTTTTTTCAAATTAACATTAACAATATTAATGAAATTGAATAGAAGATAACATTGAATATTTTTTAAAATTAGATGATTAAATTGAATCATTTAAAGATAGTAAGATTAAATTGAATATCCCAAAAATAAAGGGACCAAATTGAATAAAAAAATTATCTAATATTTTAAATATTTAATTTAATATTTTACACAATTATAAATTATTTTATTAATTATTATTTAATTTTACCTCATTATTTTTAAAATATTTAATATTGTCTTTTTATCTAATTTTGTTAATATGATTAGTTTTAATTTAGATAAAATAATAATATTGAATATTATTGTTTAAATTAAAGTATCAAATTGAACTATATAAAAATAGTAGGATTGAATTGAATTTTGAAAATAGATAAAAAAAAATAATTTAGTTTTTTTTTATAAAAATATTCTAAATTTTAATTACAAAAATAATAAGCATCTCTCTAAAAATTACAGGCCTAAAATAGTAATTCCGAAAAACTTGCATCGTAAGTAACAGGGTATTAATATAGAAAAAAACGGCGTCGTTTATGGCTTTCGTGCTGAGGAAGGGAACGGTTACAGTGAACAAGATAAGCGAGATCAAAAATTTGTAAAACAGAAAAAGTAACTAAGGGAGGGAAAGCAAAACACAAACAACTCATTACAAACTGAACACTTCCTCTTATCTCTTGAGAACTATAAACAATTTTTTCAGCTGTTTCTGTTTCACATCACTTTGGTTCCGTTATCGCCACTTGGATCGCTTCTTCTTTCCTCAAATCCTCTTCTAATTTTCCCACCTCCATGATTTCCGTCCTAGAAGGTTTCAGCCACCATATGATCGGACCTGCGCCGGCAGAATCACGCTTCCTCGGGTACTCGCCGCCGAAGATTCGCTTCTTCTCGCTCATACTCACAAATTTCGACTCGTCGGAGATCGCTGAAGCTCCTTCATGAGCAACGTTAACGTTGGACCGATCCCTGACCTGCTCTTCAGGTTGCAGGTAACCAATCCTGTCCGTCCATTATGTATTTGATATTTTTATTTATAATTAGTTGAAAATATAAAATGTATAATCATTAAACTCTATTACAAAACATAAAGTTTAAGAAAGGAAATGCTATATGCTAAAAGAAAATTAGGAAATGTAGACGATGTTAATTAATTTTTATTGGGATAAATTTGAATATAAAAAAAATTAAAAGTGTGTAAAAAATTTAAATTAATTCTAACTTATTCATAATCAATCTGATTTATAATAAAAAAATTATTTTATTTAAAAAATTTTAAATTAATTTATTTTACAAAATTAATTCAGTTATGATTCATTTTTATAAATGCATCAACTCAATTTGATTTAATTTTTTAAAAAATTATCTATATATATAAATAAAAAATAAATAATTATATCGTATCAAACTAATTTAATTTTAAAAAATTAATTTATAAATTTTTTTTAAATCAATCTACTTTATTAAAAAATATATCGGTTAAAGTACCACTAAAAAAATAAAGATATACTTGACGAAATAACGAGAAAAGAGAGAGAATAAGTAAAAAAAAAAAAAAAAAAAAAAAAAAA